TTTTTTTATGTACCTTTTGATTCTCTTGAGAATATTTAGAGGTTTCTATTTCTTGGATTTTTGTACTTTGGTTTGGAATTTTCGGATTTAATTCTTTTGTACATTTAGAGACTTTTTGTTTGAGGACAGGTTTTTTTGGGGGGCATTTGATTTATGAGTGATATACTACATTTTAGTAGTTCTATTAAACTTTTTAGTTCGTTAATAAAAGATCTTGTCTTCTTAATGCATTGTTTCCTTGGAGGACTTTTTGTTGATTTGATCTTTTAGTGATATTTGCATATGATGCTTGAAGTGAATTAGATTCAACCTATTTCCTGGCTTCTTGGAATGAGATATTTTGCATGTATTTTCTTCTAATTATTTCCTTTTTCCAAATGTTACACTCTTTGGAGTCTGCTGAATGTTTTTCTTTACACTTTGGACATAAAGGAGGCCTTTCACAAGGTGATTCTTCATGCTCAGTTTCCGGTTCCCCACATCTTTGACAGACTGATGTTCTCGTACAAACATTTTGAAGATGACCAAATATTTGACATTTATGACATCTACGGGGATTAGGAATGTATGGCTCTACCTTGGCTATTGTGCAACCTATCTTTATTTCTTTTGGTAGAGTCGGTTTGTCAAATGTCAAAATATGTGTTGGTGTTTATTCCAGTGTCATTTCTTTTTACTTGCATTCTTTTTACCTCCGTTACTCCTTGCTTTTTTAGGGTGTCATCATTTTCAATTTCTTCTGATGAACAAAGTGACAGTTCTGGGCATTTTATTACTCCTTTTGATGAATTAAGGAATTGATGGGGGTAGGCCTTAACTTTATTGTTCTCAATTTGCTTGATTTTTAGCAATTTCTCTGCATCTTTTTGGGATATCACTTGAATTAATAGAGTATTATTTTTCTTTATTATTTTAACAGATTGTGGTTTGATCATGTCTGAAATAACCCTTTGCAACACGAAAGGAGACACTTTTGATATATCACCCTCTACTGATTTTACAACAATGAAATTTGGAAATTGATTTTTTTCTATTTCATTTTCGCTTTCAGAAGTCTCATTGTCTCTGGGTTCGTTTATAAGAAGTAGCCATACAATTTTAATTTTTGTATACACTGTCTGTGCTCCCCACCCACCTCGGAGTTCCTTCTTAAGGGATGCTATCAGGGGGATTAATCCCATTCGCCCTAATCTACCAGGGTTACACAGACATTATAGTTGTGATGAGAGTGGATACGAGCACCTGCACTCCCCCACCATATCTACCCAAGTATAGTATGATGTAAGGTTTCATGGCCTTGTCGGACCCATTATCTATCATCCCAACTAGCCCTTGCCACTATGTGACTAGCCAATTGGAATAGATTGGGCTATTCCATCCACCTGTCTATCCCAGGTGGGGACCGAAATGATGCGTTGTGGAAACTCCTGGTCATTTTACACCAGATAAGGAGTCA